AAAATGTCCATACCTAGTTCGAAACGCAGTCTTCTATTCATCTCCTTCTTAGATGCGTACTAGATTGTATGCTCTCCGAAGATCTATTTTTGTATAGATCTTAGCTTGATTCAGTTGATCAAGAAGTCCAGATATTAAAGGTAGTGGATACTTGTTCTTAATAGTAATCTTATTGAATCCTCGATAATCAACACACATTCGCAATGATCCATCTTTTTTCTTCACAAATAGAATTGGAGCTCTTGCCGGAGATTTAGAATGGCGTATAAAATTCTTGGCTAGATTTTCTTTAATATACTCCTTGAGTTCAGTCAACTCATTTTGTGATAAACTGTAGATTGGTCCAAATGGCAATTGTGCTCCTTCTTGAAGGTCAATTGAACAATCATAGGGACAATGTTTCGGAAGTGTATCCGCATTCTTTTTTTCAAATACATCTTGAAATTCTTCATATTGGCTTGGAATGCTACTTGAAGTCTTTTCACTAGTAGAAACAGGTGTGGCATAAATAATATATGGTGATTCTTTCATAGCAGCATGCAAGAAAGCTTTAGCACCTATAAATACGCGTTTAATTGAACTGAACTTATGACTCTCTACTTGATTAACTACACTGTTAGTTATACTTTTAGAAAAAGTAAGAGTTCGGGAAATCCAATCTATTTGAGGGTTATATTTTTCTAACCACCATAAACCTAAAATGACTGGATTAGAAAGAGATCTAATGATATTAAATACTACAAAACTATTATGACCATTGATTATTACTTCAATAGGAAGGATTTCGTGAGTAATATCTCCAGAAGACAATGGACGACCATCTATGACTTCTACATGAACAGGTTTAGTTTTCTTTACTAAAGATATGCTATGTTTTTTAGTAAATTCTTCATCTAAAAAATATGCTGAGGCTCTTGAATCTAACAAGGCAGAGACTTTGTAATGTTTAGATCCTAAAATAATGTTTAATGTAAAACAAGGAGAGGGCTCTGAGGAGAGAATAGGACCTTTACTAGATGTTGTGCAAGGTTCCAGCTGCATAGTCCCTATTGTAGCTGGACAAACTCGTTTTCTGACATATTATCTTCTTTCACAGCCATACTCCTCATTTTGTGATTGCGTCGTTTCTTTGGACAATGTTGAGCAGTGTACTTTGGTTCTCCACAATATAAAAATAATCCTTCTTGACGACGACGAGTCTTTTCTTGCTCAATAAGAGGTTTGAAACGTACTGCATCAATTTACATATCCTCTACTTCTGAATGTATGTGTTGAAGAGGTGTTGGTGTTGCCATTCAATTATAGTAACGTTGAGGTCCACTTGTACGATTCTTAGATCGAAATTCAAAAAGGCGATTGTCGCACTTCATAAGAAAGTCAATTGCTTGACTCAATGTTTGAGGATCAGGTAAGTTGAGCATTAATTTTTTTACCTCATATTGTAATCCGTAGAGAAATTGACTAATAAGTGCAGCATCATTCCACTTGATATCAGTTGCAAGTTGTCGAAATTATGAAGCATATAACGTTACTGATCGATTGCCTTGTCGTAAAATACGGATTTTTTTGGTTGCAACATGAATTACATCATGTTCTCTATACATGGATTGAAACTCCACCAAAAAAGCCTCTAGATTATCCAATATTGGATCTCGTCGTTCAAGAAAAGATGAAAACCACGATAGTGCTGAACTTGAAAGAAGCGTACCAATGAATCTAACTTGCGATCTTAGAGTTGGGTAGCTTTGGGGTTGAAGTTCAATCACAAGTTGCACTTGATTGATAAATCCTCGAAACTTGGATCTGGTGCCATCAAACTTCTCGGGTAGGGTAATTCTTGGTTCTTTAACATTTGAAGGGCGTTCCACCATAGGATAAAGGACGTGGTTTGGTGCAGATGTTGAAGCAACTCTAATCATTTCTATATCTTCACTTCTTGTCAATCTTGTTGCTCCTTGTGGTGGTAAATTGAGTTGATGCATCGCAAGCATTAACTCCTTCAATTGCTCTTGCATTTGTGCCATTGCACTCTCCATTTCAACAAGTTCTCTCTTAATAACATTTAGAAGAGAGAAGATGTCTAATATCGCTCAAGAAAAATACAAGAGAGGACTTGAGAACAAAGAAAATACTAAGGACAATATCAGTTTAGAAGAGGATAATCCGCAACTTCTAATATGCTTATATCTTATCAAGAAAAAGGGATAATCCACTCTTAATCAAGATTAGACAAAGCTCTGATATTGTAAGTGTATTCTTGTCAATCTGTCAAGGACAAGAACTCGATGAAAAAACAATTCAGACAAGTGAGCCTTCACTCAAAGAAAGGTAACAAAATATAAATAAACAAGTATGTATATTGAAAGAGAAATTGGAATGGCTATTGCCAAAAGACAAAGAAACTAGAGACCCTTGAAACTAGACTGGAAGCAAGAAAGGAGTTGACAATAGTGAAGAAGCCTTCACTCTTGTCTCTATATATACTATCTAACTAGAAACTACGTGGCAACGTTCTATAGGACCTCCAATATGTGTTGACTTTGTAGAACACATGCCTTGACTTAAAAGGCAAGTTTTTCTACGTGTGGGCCAGATAGTTAGCTTGATCTTCAAGCTAATAACATGAGTGGCACATGGCCAACTTGTTGACCATGTTTCTAATCCAAAAAGTCAATTAAAGACACCTATGAAGTCAAAGCAGCGTCTATAAAGCTTCTAAGAAGCTTCCATATTAAATACTATAGAATTAATTTATTTTTACTTACTTTTATTTATTTCCACCTATTTGTATATGTAATTACTAGCTTACATGATTATATCCATGACAATTCCTAATAGATCTTCTTATACTCAAAAGAGGTATTATGAGACATTAGAGGTGATAAAAGAGTGGCTAAGATTAGAAGAGAGGTTTTGATAGTGTATAAGACTTGTGAGAAGTCTTATAAGTGAAGTTGAGAGTGATCAAAGAGTGAAATCACTAGTTTATTCACAAAGAGGATATTTTAGGATTCCAAAGTAACAACACCTTCTTGTTGATTTTAAGAGTTCTATCTTTTCTTTTCTTGATTTTCTTTGATACATCCTTTTTTTAGACATGGCTTCAAATAAGGGTGAGGGTTTGAAAGTGATTGAGAAGTTTAGAAGTGACAACTTCTACTATTGGAAGAAAAAAATAGAACTTTTGTTGGTTCCATTAGATCTTTGGAACATTGTTGATGAAAGTGAAGAGCCTCTTAATAATGATGTTGATGTCAAGGTGAAGAAAGAACTATACAACAGGAAAAGAAGGCTTTTGGCATGATTGCAATTAATCTTGATGATGCCAACTTTTCACATATAATTACTTGCAATGGACCAGCAAAAGCATGGAAGACTCTTTGTAACATCTATGAGAGTAGAAATCTTGCTAATATTCTATGGACAAGATAGAAGAAGAAGATGACCTCATGGCTCATGTCAACAAGGTAAAAGCACTTGCAAACCAACTAGTAGTTGTTGACAAGTCAGTTGATGATAGAGAAATTGCATTGACATTGCTCATGAGCTTTTTCAAGTCCTAAAACTATCAAGGAGTATGAATTATGGAATACATGAGTGGCCCATTCTTGAAATATCCTTGGGCTTGGATTCTTCTTCAAGTATCCAATGAGGGTATGCTTCTCTTCATGTGTGATCTGCTATAGTGTGGTGTTCATGCTGAGGATGGCTTTGTCCCGATGTCCCCGAGGTTAAAGCTCCCATTTGACCCTGATAGTTTTGTGTCCTTAATGCCCTTGAATAAGACTTCGTCTTCGCACTGAAATGGCGTTGGACGGTACTCTCCCTCCGTCGGGAAGTGTAGGGACCGAATCTCAAAGCCTCCTTTGGAATGTCGTTCCTCGGAGTTGAGGCTCACAAAGCTGTCCTCACTCATTTGGCTGCAATGAAGTCGAGAGATGGGGGACTTACCTGTGAGGTCGTGTGTTGAGTTGGTTACTTGTGTAGATCTTTCGTTGGCTCCGCTCGACTCCCGCGTCCTGTCGACGCCTGAATTGATGTCCTGCTGCGTAAAGCGTACGCTGGCTCTCTTGCCGTGGCACTGTATTTGGTCTTGCGTCGTTCGTTGTCTGATTTTCGCTCCATTCTACTATTGCGATCTAGGTAACTACGTTGGGTTCTGTTGGTTCTGGAACCAGAAATTCCTAAACCGCTCTAACCCGGTCAGATACGTACTCGCTCAATGTTTGGATTGTATTGTGAAAATCGGATCTGTGTTTCTAGTTCCAAATATGTTGGCAAGTGGTTGCTTTGCAATCTCCTAGAGTGTTTCAATGCTTCCCTGACTGTAGAAATATAATGCGCACTCAAAGACGTCAAAAATCACTCATTCCGAGAATGTCGGATCTCTAGGGTGCGGCTCCGGAGTTCACGGAGCCCCGCCGCGCTCGCTCTGCTCTCGCTCTACCGCTCTATACTATTTGAGCTACTCCCCCGTGTACGTACAACCTCGAACAACATACAATTATTATAATTTTTCATTATCGCTATATGAATTTCCAGGTAGAGTTATCATGGTGTGTAAGGAAAATAATAGTTAGCTTCAAGTGATACATATATCCCGACGTCAAGAACTAGAGCAAGTGGCCACTATAAACCGGAGAGTTGAAAAAGGAGACTTTGAACATCTATATAAAAATCTACGGACGGGATCCGTATGGAGAAGACGGGCATCGATCCCGTTACCTCCTGAATGCGAATCAGGCGCTCTACCATTTGAGCTACTCCCCCTCATACACTACAACTTGATCTACATTAAATACTTATGGTAAATTGGAAACCGCTGTTAGATCTTTCATATAAAGAAATATGACGCGTAGGAGAATGATTATTTAACTAGGAGAGTGATACGTATTTTTCGACGTCAAAATTGTCGTGACGGTGGCCACTATAAACAGGGGGGTTGTAAAGAGTGAAGATGACGCTCTGACAGGAAGGTGGGCTGTGCTTCGACAGAAGGCTTGAATAGAGAAAGCAGAATTGACATTAGCAGCAGCCAGGAAACTGTTTCATGATTGTGAAATGAATACAATCATTGACATGATTTCAAAGAAATGTGCTCACGTTCCTGACTACGTGAAGATTGCAGCGTTTTCTGCTCAGCTGGTCCTTCCCAGGGAAACCTAGACTCAAATTAGCAAAACTGTATACTCAATCCTCTACTCATAGAGCCACTTCTCGTCATTCTTGGTGTAGCTGACAAGCTCCTCAGGCTTAAACCACAACCCAATTTCGTTAACAGCCGTTTCAGGTCCATCACTGCCATGAATGATATTCCTTGACACTTGAACGCAAAGGTCTCCCCGGATAGTCCCAGGCTCAGAAGCTTGGGGGCTGGTAGCTCCGATCAGCTTTCGCCCGTACTTAATCACACCTTGGCCTTCCCACACCTAAAAATTTCCAGCATATATTTCAGACTCACAGGGGACTAAAATGATCACTAATGCATACACTGATATAAGGGAAATGTGTCCTAAACAGATTCAGAGAATATAAAATGATTGAGTACTTGTATGGTATGAAAGGGAAATTGCAGAACACACCATGGCAACAACTGGGCCGGAGCTCAAGAAATCACAAAGGCCGTTGAAGAAGGGACGAGAGCTCAAGTCATCGTAGTGCTGAGCAGCGAACTCCTTTGTTGGCACGATGAGCTTGATGGCAACAAGCTTGTAACCCTTGCGTTCAAAGCGCCCAATGATCTCCGAGATCAGGCCTCTCTGAACACCATCAGGCTTGATAGCAATGAAAGTCCTCTCCAACTGCACAATTTTGAATCGATTCAGTAAAAAGATAGGAGAGTATATTCAAAGTTACAATTATTCAGATGAAATTGAACATGTCCGGATCAAGGTCAAGTGATGGAATAATCAATACCTCAGCAGCCTCGACTGTTGGGTCCTGGAGCATCAAAGCTGCAAAACAATTCAAATTGGATAAACATGAAAAATGTCTATGCTTCAAAACACACCTGTGTTAGCTTCATGGACGCTTTAAACTGTAGCTGGAGGATCACCTAGCATCAAAAAAACGAGAGCAATTCAGTTCATAATCGAAAATGACAAATACTATGAATTTTAAACATGGTATTTATACCAGCAGCAGGCAGAAAAGCTGCAGCTGGGAGCCATTTGCTGAATCCACCGTTGGTCCTCGCGGAAGTCCAGACAGCAGTGGCGGCAGCAGCTCCGCTTCCTTTGCAGGCGGAGGCGGCTAAAAGTGCTCTTCCCTCTGGACGTGCAGACAGTAACAATCAGAAATCATCCCAAATGGGTGGCTTCCAGTTACACTAATAACGTCCAGCAACATATAATTCTCATAAACCCATGCGGAGCCAGGTTAATTTTCAACAAGACTATCCGGTTCCACAAGAAATCTAGGAAGTTGACTTAAGTATCACATCCACCTAAGTACCCTTACATTAGAGACAATTTTCACAATATACCGGCAACATTTTGCAACATATCATTAGTGTTTTTTAAGGGCACAATGTCGCCAGTTTTCTTAAAATAATGAGGTAACACTACTCCATTAACAAATGAGAACATATTCAGGGTTATAAAAGACCGTAATACACTACAATCTGACATTACACAGCGAATACAAATAAAATTCTAGACCGCTCGGAAAACTAGCGTTTCTGGGCAGAATAACAGCGATAGATCTGGTCGCTACGCGAAATCACATCCATGCACCAACTTAGAATAGGTGCTCAACTCGACTGCAAGCAAATATGACTACACCACGCAAGACTCTGATCCGAAGCCTTCATTCTTAAAACTGAAGGAGCAAAACGACAACAAGCGTACATCTAACCAAACAGCTTACAGAGCCCAATCAAACAAGGGTAGATCGTCACGAAGTACATCTAAAACGAGTGGAATGCATCGACACCCACAACACCAAAGCCTTGGTGCAGCCTATCTCTATCAAGGTCAAGAAAGCTAAACACCACACACAAAGTGCACCGTCAACATGCAACAGAAATGGGGTAAATCAAGACCTGAGGCAAGAGCCGGGCGTGATGCAGCGGCGGCGCGAGCAGCCCGGGCAATGGCGGATGCTAAACGAGCCCTCACCATGGTGGCGACTAACCGAGGCGGCACAGAAACCCAAGTGGGTTACGTGAGTACAAACAAGGCAGGTTTCCAAGGCAGCCTGGTGACTAGAAGAAGAGCCTCCCCAAGAGCAAAACTGTCAACTAGCGCCGCTGAAGGATGTGTGCACCTTGGGGAGAGGGAAGGGATGGCAAGCCCAAATAGGGAAAAAGTACGAGGAAAGAGACCCTGGGGAAACGTGGTGGGCGGAGCTTAAAAGCAGCTGCACATTCACATCGAGCTTCATTCATTCCCCACAAGCTCATCATCCCCCCCTCTCTCTTAGTTCATCATTGATGTTGTCAGGCTCGCGGCCTGGAAATCAGACGCGTTGGGTTGATAGAACTTTTGCAAACGAAAGATATTTGTGGGCAACTTTACACTGATCCAGTTTTTTCAGGAAGTTCAAGGCTTCGTGCGCCATCAAATTTCGGGTCACCATATTGTTGGGTTCACCCGCATTCAGGTCTATCAAGTCGATGGTATGGACTTGCGTTAGGGTGTCTTGTTGCCGATAGGTTGCACTTTGTGGACTGCTCGGTGGATGGATGGGAATCTGTCTCGGAATAATTGAGTAGGGCGCCCAACGTGGTCGATTACATTTTAGTCAAGAAAAACACCTCGAAAACAGTCTTCAGATGAAATGGGATCGCAGATGTAGGATCAACATCTGAGAATTGACTTACAGGCAGAACTGAAAACAAGTGAAAGATACAAGTGATAACCCATCCGCAGCATAGCATATGTAGATATTCTCCAAGCCTCACTATCAAGGAATCGATAGAATATCCGATATAGACGGCGACCATGCAATAGAGCACTGTTACAATTTCAAAAAGAGTTCCAGAAGAAACGAAGGCATTTTTATCCAGATGTTTAGCTATAAAAACTCTCAAACACTCGCGCATCCGATTACAACTCAAGGAAAGATATGAATGGTCTCCAAATGATTAGCAATGCAAGCTGGCTTTGTGCACAAAACACATCCAGAATCTAATGCGGTATTATCCGTGCCACCTTAAATCCAAACGTGTGAAGAACCTGAACTCCAGGTTAATAATGGCCTGTCTACAGACAATAAATGCTACAATATGTGCAACTAGGTCTGGTTCCCATGTCAACTATGCCAATCGTATCAAACCCTACAAATCCAGGCACAAGAACTGATGATCTGTAGTTATGCTTCCCGACTGGTGCTATGATGAGGCTTCGCTGCTTGAGCTCAATCCAAAACACCTCATCCAGGTGTAAATACTCTCGATGTCCTGGTATCAGCTTCATGCTCATGGACCATTAAAAACCGGAAAACAAGGAATCAAAAATCAATCATCCTCCCAACTTCCTTGGGTCATGGCGTATTCTTCAGTCAAAAGATAAAGGTGATGTTAATCATTAGCCTGCACGAGGTCCCAATCAACCCAAATCTGCTGTGTCCACTCCCTAAATACTCTCTTTAAGAGTTCTCTGAACACGGGATGCTTGATAACGTACGCCGCCTCTAGACCGAAGGAACAAACAGAATAAAATAGCAGCAACTGAAATTAAGAGCACCACATAAACTAGACCGAGTTGCATTGTCAACCCAAACCCAGATTCATAATCTGAGTCCAGTCCTTTCGTGGGTGTCTTAGTTAGTTTATAGGTGGCAACATCGATAGGTGGCGTTTTCTCTCCCTGTTCCTCGGCCGGTACTTTCGTAGACTCCTTTTGTTGTTCAGCTGGCGGGATCATGGTTCGAAAGTTTTTCTCATCAAATAGGCCGTGGCCTCTAAGTCGAGCAAAACCAACATTAGAAGGTAATGGATCAAGAATGAAATCCAATGTGACGGCAGAGTTATTGGGAAGAAATACAGAAGTCGTTCGATTGTAGTATCCTGGGATGTTTGCTGTCACTGCATAACTCAAGAGCAGTTCGAAACTGGTTAATTTGTAGCAAATCAAGAATAGATTGTCCATGAAAACTGCTACTAAAGAGATAGAGAAAACAAAAAATACAAAGCAAGATACAAACATAGAAAAGAAGAGTTTTATTTGTTTTCTGAAAAGCAAAAGAAGAAGCTTCCAGATACCAACCTGTATAAACTTGCCCAGGTGCTAGAAGGCGGTGATAATCTCCAAATTCAGCACTTGCATTCATCTGAAAAAGTCAAAAATACAATCATACCCCTTGTCCTCGTTTTCACCATACAAACTGGAGATCAAAACTCACTCTCTGACTTCATTTTCTGATCTGCCATGATGGTACAGGTGCACTGCTTTCCCTGAAAACTGTCTGAAGGCAAAATGTGTTTTTGAAGGTAATTCAGATCTTAATTTGTACCAAGAATTTTCAAGTGAAGGCCACACATGGCCCTACACAAGCCATTATCAATATTTTGCTAAAATAGAGCAAGCACCAAAAATGCACGAAATAGAAACCGGGCAAAAAAATGTACCGAATGGCTTATGCCGCTGACTACAATTGTAGCAGCTAATGGCTCTCCTTGTATTGATGACATGACCCGCCCATGTACTCCTGACTGAAATGCCCACGATCACTCTATTGAGTTACTTTCTAGTAGCATCCCTTCCTCTTTTGATGCATGACATTTATTACCTCTCCTACATCCATGTCAGAATTCCACTCTTCTCAACTTAACCTAAAGGTCCTGTAACTTCACTTCTGAGCCCTCTACTCACTTCGTTGCATTGAAAATGCAGTGTGACCAATCATGTTCTTAGGTTTTGAGTACAGATACAACTTTCTGTCTGGAAGTTAAGAATCCTTAACGCTCACCTTGACTGTGGCTGCCGCAAGTTCTAACATACTCTTACGATGTTCACCCCAGATTCGGGGTACCTGTCAAACAACCAGCATTCGTTCTGCTTAAAACGACTTCACTAGAAAATGAGTACACACATAAGAGCACGAATAAGAGCACAAGAGTATAAGTCAGGAGAAAATAAAAATAACGTATACTTTCTCCTCTGAGTCGAAGAATTGCGAAGAGCTCAATCTTGTTCTGATTGAGGAGAAATGGCACCTGGTCGGGAGGCGGCCACTTATTTTCATTCATTTCCAAAGTAAGTTCCATGCAGTTTCCATGTAGGTAGTTCCAATCCTGCATGCCGCCGTAAAGTGGGTACCTAAAGAAACAGAAAATTCAGTCACTTATGTTCAGTGCAAGAATTTATCCTTTAAGGCAGCCAAATATCTTTGACGTGAAGAGCAATGCAGAGAACATGGACGGATGGTTCACAAAAATTCCCACTAACTTGCTTTTCAAACCCTAAATAGAATTCATTTCGGAATTCAGTAGATAATTAAGGCTCTATCGACACTAACCTACTTCGGTAAACTTTCCGCAAATGACGTTTTTATGCATGAGTAAGAAATCAGGATGCATAGAGAGTAGCAACCGAGCCGGAAGCTGGTCCGGTTAGAGCCGCCTGAGAGCACGGTAAACGTGAACGTTTTGCTCTGCTGACGTTTACCTTGATGTTATGTGGTTACCTCACAGTCGCTTAGAATAAAAGCCAGTCCTGAGGCCTACTACGACTGCTACAAGCATCAGAGTTAAGTGGATTACAAAGCAAATTCTCAGAATGTATAGTAACTTATGTGATCATCCTTCTGATATACTCATGGAAGTCATAAGGTATCTCGAAAAAAAATGTCTTTTCATCTACAAATGGCGAAGTGATGGCAATTCAACTTACCAATGAGCACCATTTGTAATGCCACCAGTAAACTCCTTGCTCTTAAGCATTAAAGGGTGGTTCCCAGCGTATACGCCAGCAAGATATTTGAAAGTACTGTCGTCTGGAGATGGGGCGTACTTTGTACTGCACATCTTACGCAATTATGAGGGGAAACACGATAAACATATTCTAAACACGCGTTTCCAACATCGAAAGACGAGTGCAGCAACTATTACATCAATAGCAGAAGGGCAGGACTGGGCATGAATCTCTTAAAAATCAGCCAATTATTCGTATAAACAATGAGTGTGAGATGTACCTTATGTCAGGAGTGCCATCATACGGGTAATTAGCAACAAGAGCCCCCTGTGATCAAACTAATCATAAGTACACCTGATTTGAGTGAATGAAATCGAAGACCAGTTCCAAAAATTTAGAATAAAACCTCTATTACTTTAAGTGCACCCAATGCAATATCTCACAATCAAACCCAAACCCGAAAATTGGCTTCGTGTCTCACAAAAGGGTGCCAATTGAAAGTACCTCATGGAAGCTAGCTGATGCCGTGAAGCGACTGGAGCGGATCCAGTTCATTACAGAACGCGTTTCAGCCTGCCGCTTTTCTTCATTATTATTTTGAGGAAAAAACTGCATGTGCACAAGCGCTCGTACCGTTAGAACTTTGTCACATCAAAGGTTAAAAGAATTCCTCGAAAACAAAGACTTACTTCTTCTTAAAAGTATAAAGAAATATGACTTGAGAGTCCAGAGTTAATAAACGGCAACAATTTTCCATTTATTAATGTTACTCCATTCTGTAGTCGATAGCAAGCAAAAAGGTCTACATTTAACAGAGAATAAAATGAGGAACCTGGTCAGGGAAGTCACGGTTAAGATCAACATCATGCGCATTATTTCTCGTGGGTCCCGGCTTTTGAGCCGCAAAACCATCCGGATTCATGGTTGGGAGTAGATGTAGATGCAACTTATCCACAATCAGAGTGGCCTGCATCAGATTATACCACAGCCAAGAAATACTCAAATATTGATCAAGACGCACCTTACTGAAGCTGAGCAATCACAGTTCTCCGTCACTTAGCAATAGCTCAAGGTATTGAGACAGAATGCAGAATATTCAGCTTGTAGACGTTCATAGAAACTCAGTGCTTTAGTTATAAACGACCACATCCACTGAGAAAAAGAAGTATACCATAGGATCTTTCTTGTAGTTGTCGCACAGCCAATCTGAAAGCAGAAGTACCAACTCTCGCCCAAGCGGCTCGTCTCCATGCATATTCCCCACATACTGAATCATAAAACACAAGTCCGTAAATCCCTGCATCCGATCTGTTCCTTAATATCTACCGAGGACTGAAACAGTAGATAGTGATAAAGCATACCTTAAAAGCAGGTTCGGGCTCAGAAACTCCAGGCTTATCTGAAATTTCCAACGCCCACTGCACCCACAAACACTAAGCATTGTGAATTGGGACCAAAAGTTTTGTTTGACATCTTCTTCAATCGCTTCTAACAAACATGATGCCCTCTTTCTGCAGCCTAATTCCACAGAAGCGGCAGGAAAAGTTTCAGTACATACGACTGTGTTGGAGGAGTCAATTTCTAATTTCGAAGTTATTATAATGTGATGAGATGAAAGAGTACGTATATGATAGATACTTCAAAGAGAGAACAAAGGTATACAAGTCTAAAAAAAATGGCTTATGCAGTGTCCTTACCAGGGGTACACCAAGAGTACTGTTCCCAATGCTGCACCGAACAGTCAACCAGGACAAATGAGCTTCCAAAGACGGTCTCCTAATATGATAAATGTAAACAGCTATCACACAAGTGGAAACTTCTTCCTCATTTCATTCAAACAAGTTCACATTGTTAAGTGGTGTTTGAGAGGGACAGTAGCGTACGTGTAAAGCCTAGAGATGTGCCTGCAACGTCGAGTGAAGTTCTTAAGAGCTACCTCCAATTCCAAATTACTTTTGTAATGAGCTTCAACAGTGCTATTCGCAGGGGTAGCAGCTTTCATACCTGCAAAGACATGAAAGCTTCAATCATCATCTGTAGGTGACTAGACACGAGGAAATAAAATAGTGACTCAGATTTTTTAAGATCCACTCACAAAACCCTAAAAAACGTAATAGTCTGAAACACAATAATCATATTCGATCCCCACTTCAGCATCAAGAAATTGCATTTAATCATATGGTACTCCACCATTGCTTGCTCATTAAACAAGGGCTTCATGTTTATGGCATTAAAAGGTTACCATTCTGCGAGTTTTAGTGTTTGCTGGCAGTGTTTACTTCCAATCAACAGCATTTGGAATAACGATAGCACAAATGAATGGAAAAAAGAAAAGATTGCGGCAGGGAGAGAACTCCTGCAACCAACCTAGGCCTCGCAATTGAATACACATTTGGATATCCTTCCATCGCAGAGGGGAAATCCGTTGAGGATGAAGAGGATGTACCTTGAGTCGTCAAACTCGCAGAGCTCGCCAAGTCCAAACCCAATAACACCACCAACAAGGATATCGCAGCAGCACCCAATGTCCCGCAGTCGCAGGAGCCCCGATTTCTGAACATCACAAACATTTGCCCTAACTGCTGAAAAAGACTCTTCTTCCTTTCACAAGACACTGTCCTACTAAACCCCAGAAAACCCCTGACACGTCCTCGTACCAATCCTCCTCTCCTCAAACGCAACAATGTCCCCAAAGACCATCCAAATCGTCATACAGGGGTACGAGGGTTTCTGTCACCGGCATTCCCCATATCGTCAAACAACCTGCATAAACACTAGATTGACGACCCTCTCACAGATCGCATAACGAATCCGACTTTATGGAATCTCCCTAACACTCTATGATGTTCAGCGGAAGCTGCTCCTACGTCTTCTGCAACGGATTGCGTCGCAACGTAAATATCTTGAATCCACAGCATCTAACACAATACAAGTGTGTTCATTTTTCCTAACTTAGATGGCGGATAATGCAGAAAAGTCATGAGAAGGTCAGGACTCTGTATTCCTAGTACTATAGCTGATGCAATCGTGAATGATGCGAGGAGCAACTTGCCAGTAAAGCGCACAACCCGAGAGAGCGAACATTGGTTCATCCATCATGGATCGCTGACATCTGAAGGCTGGATGAACAAGGACTTTGTGAAGATGATGCGACAAAGTGACGTCCCCATGTCGTCGGAGTCGTGCATCGTCTGCCTCTGATCTGGAACCTCGTAGGTCAATTTTTGTCCCCAAGTTCCTGAACTCCACGCCTCGTGCCAATTTGCTCGCGCCGTCTTCTCAATTTCTTGATCGCATACACTTCGTCTGCGTTTCCTGGACAGTGGACTGTGTTTGTCACAGATTTTGCTGCGACCAGAATCACAGGAGATGGGTTTGCTTGTTTCTCCGACAATTGATGGGCAGCTTGAGCGATCGATGCGGTACGGTTGAAGAAGACTTCTCCAATCTCGAAACGCTTTCCCAAACTGCACTGGGCTGATTTGACTGCTTGTCGTGGTTTGCGTTTGTTGAAAGGATTGTACATTTTACATTTTTTGAGTTGGCAGCGGAGTGAAGTATAGCATGTGTTTTTAAGTCGAGAACCAGAGTGCCGTATTCAAACATACTGAAGCAGATTTGAACATCTGCCCGGCATGGGAATGAAATAGGTTTTGGGGGTCACATGTGAATTCGGAAAGGAGGTGGTACTGCATTTAGAAGTGACAACGGATGGGCTTCTGATATAACCTGTCGGAAACCTAAGATGGTTGTGATAGTGAAATTTTGCATGAATAGTGTGGCATGTTTGAATTTGCGGTCTCTTGTGTCGCAAATGCAATTTCAGCGCAGACATTCGCCCAGGAGATACGCAAATAATTTGGTTCCATTCCAACGAGAACTCTGGGCGAGATGTCGTGGTCTATCCTTGCGCGTGAACATGGTATGTCTGCAGACCACAGAAAATTCTTCAGCGTCGGGGAGTTATCTCGCGGCAGTAGGTATACGAACGACATTTTGCAGAACATTGTGAAACAGAACCACTGATTGGTTCGCGAGTACGACAAGCTTGTCGGTTCAGTCAATAGCCTGGAGAATCTTACGAGGAGTCCATCAGCTTCTCGTGCCAAGACACCTGAGTTCGAGCACCTCGTCAATACAGGTGAGAGTTCGTAGCATCAAATACTGTCATCAACCGTGCAAATCGTTTAGCAGAATTTATCATCCTGCGAATGATGTATCCCATTAATGAATTTTGTCTGTCATTCTGCGATGTGATCAAAACTTGCGCACTGGTTTTGCAGCTTTTTTGCGTTCAGGTGAGTCACTGGATGACATTCAGGTTGAACCATTCGCAGTAGTCCAAAAAGCCGCTGGACGCACTCTTCGTACGCGAAACTTTGACATTCAGGTAATTGAATCATGTAACACATCTCCCGGTACTCTCTTTTCTTCACTTTTGTTGTTGATTTTACTCCTCCACCTGTTTGCTCTCATTTGGCTCCAACCACAGCACTCTTGTTTACAACTTCAGATTCACTATCAGCACTTGTTAAAAAAACCAAAGTTCCTATGGTTTGTCAAGCTTGCTTCCGTTTTCTCCTGTTGACAGGACGAGGAATGATGTTTAATAAACCCATTCTCAAGAAGCAAACTGGAAAAGTAAAAATAAAAATAAAAATAAAAATAAAACGTTAGCTTCGCCCCTATTAGCTCATCTGATCGATATGACTAGGGAAGGGGTCTATGTCGTAACTGACACCAATGTTGCTGGGATGGACAGTGTTTGGGATAGTCACAGCTTTTACTAGGGATTCCTAAGTTTAGAGCCAGCTGGGAGGAGAGCAATCTTCGCTTGCGACAACTCGAAGTTCGGCTTCAAGTACCTGGATTACAAAGATGATATAGTAACGCAGTGGTCCATTGTGGACTAGCTAGGACCTCTCGGCCTGGTTGATGATCACGGTGAACAATGCGAAAGAATTTTCACGTCCTGCATTTGCGCTGCACATCGTAACTGCTGTGTCAGCTCCAGAATTTGTCAATCTCTGGAATCGTTGCTGCAGCTGTAGGTGCTTGGAGATCTGCCTGAATCCTCCGAGTCTGCTTGATCTTGGCTCTTCCGGTGCGTGCCCTGAGCTACAAGCTGGCAATTCATTGCCGTCATGGGTTCAGGATCTGTGCAGGCCGACGAAGAATAGATTGCTTGGGACCCACCTCCGAATTCTTCAGGTCTTCCTGGCCTTCCTTCAAGGTACCCAGTTGAAGATCTGTTTGTTTGTTTGTTTTTTTTCTTTTCATTGCGTTTATTGTTTTTACAAGTTGCTACCTGGAGCTACAATGATTTAAAGTTTCTTCATGGCAGGGCTGGAAAATAGACGATGATCTAATCCAGCACTTCATGAAAAACTTAGTCCTGCACAACTTTTGTACCCCTAATGAAGTCCTGTAAACAGACACTAAAAGCTTTAGAGAATCAAAACACACACACACTTATATATATATATATATATATATATATATAATTATGTGGGTGTGTGTGTATAAATGCTGTATTGCTTTTTGAAGTCATTTGATTAGTTTAACTTGATTATGAATGCTCTTGCTAAAAAGTGAAAAACAAAAGAACAAACAGGTGAGTTGAAACACATGGGTGGACCAATGAAGAAGACAAAGAACATCAGGTGAAAAACCAAAAAGTAAAAAAGCAAATATACACACGTATGCTCTAGCAAAGGTGTATGTTTGGAAGATAAAAGGGACAAACTGACAAGGATGTTGAAAAAGAAAAAGGTGGTGGATGATTATGTGGATCATGTGAAAATCCTTAGACTCTAATCTTTTCCACCCAAATTTCCGAACGATCGGAAGTAAAAACCACTGCCCTTTTTATTACTATAACGGTAACAGGTACTATTACACGGAACTAATTCACATATATATATAGAGAGAGAGAGAGAGAGAGAGATATACACATGTATATGTAAGGCCACTACATGGACCAATGTCAAATGTAAAGCACGAGCTAAATCAACGAGAACCCAAATTAATTTAACCTATTACTCTTCATGTGTTGTATCTGAGTGAACATTACACTGCCATATTCATTCCCTTTCATTTTAAGCTTTGAATATCATCTTTACACAATAAAATATGATGACTGTTTCGGGTTTAACAACAGTAGCACTGTGGGAGGAAAAGGGGATATTTTCAAACTTGTTATTCTTTAAACAGATCCACTCCAAAAATATTGCTGTATAAGCTAACAGGTTGAGATTCTACCGTTCTTCAATGCAATACTGCACTTCAATACGTTTCTGACACAAGTTTTATATTGTACACACCATATTTAAATGGATACAAAGGAATTGCGTCCAGGCAAATAAATGGGTCTGGTTGAGCATCAAGAGTTAACGAATAAATGACCATATATGTCTGCACAACAAATTCAAAGGACAAATATGTCCAGCTTACGTTCGCCGTGTTGTACAGAATCGGTAATACAACTCATACCAGTAATAAGACAAAATTAGTATTATATATGAATATTTATATAGATAAATATATATATATATATATATAGCCTTCCTTGAAGATAATCAGAACTAAACTGCTAATTAACATTAGATTATAAATGATTCATCCAACGGAGAAAAGTGATCCAGTAACCCATTGGCACCACCATCTGTTCATCCGACCCAGCGAACGGTATCATCCAACCAGCCCACGATTACAGAGTCACACCACGGTAACCCACACAGCCGTGACCCATCCAACACCGAGCGATGAAGACCATTCGTCGGCTGAAATTCATTCGTCATACTTCCAGAATAAGTTGTTTTTGTTCATGTCAGACCTAACGCCGCGATTTCACGCATCCACCTGCAAGCTGTGGCATGCAGGAAGGGTCGGTCATGGCAGGCCCTGCACCAGCAAAGCAAAGGGACAGACAGCAAGATTCAAAGCCCCATACAAGTAATTACGCCTCCCATCCCACACCCCCCAAATTCTATTTCCGTCCCCATGTCTTTGCGTAGTGGCAATCGAGCTCCGCCCCAATGTCCAGCTGGGACAATAGCCTTCTCTCCCCCTACCGTAGTCCGCCACGCTTTTCGATCCCGCGCACCGTGGACCTCCGAACCGTTCCGATCCAGATTCGGGTACCGAGTCGGAGTGAGAACCACCAAGAAATAGTTCACCGCAGCACGTAAAATTCTCGAGTCCGAGACAATTCCACGACGGAACAGAAGCGGGCCACGCCCTTTAGGCTCAGAATGATTGCGGGAGGGGTAGTTGAGGAGGAGGAGTTTCAGGTTTTGCCACGGCCCGTCGTCCCGTAGCCAAGATTAGGGTTTCAGAGCTCTGTGGAAGGGCGATTGTTGGTCGGTTATGGGCGAGGAGGTTTGGATTCCCATGACCGCCCATTCGCATGCGGAGTCGTGGAGCCGGAAGAACGTGTGCATTCGAATAAGGGGCGGGTATCAACCGAGGGCAACACGGTTTCGTAATTGCAAACCCCCGTGCCCGTGGCCTGTCTGCCAAAGCATTGTGTCCTTATTGGGATTCACGAGACTGACCCATCATGGTTCCAATGAGTTCATGAGGGTCGTTAATTTTGTTTGTTTTGGTTTTAGGATCCGTCCAATGCATTTAATATTGTTAAGATTATGGATTTAGGGGGCCAAGTTCGAGTTAACACACGAATTACTAATTATCGTTAACTGACGCAATAACGTTCCATGTACCGGAAAAACGAAAAAGACAAAATAAAGAAAAAAGGATCCATAAAGCAACGCCGCTTTGGGTCCTAAACTTGTGGTTGGGAACTTTCTGATCTGACACGTGTCATTTATGAGTTATTGCTCATGAGGTGGCAGGCCATGGTGACAGGAGTCAGTGGATCATTGTAGTCAGTAGTGTGAACGCAGAGCTGGTTTACAAGCTACCAGAGACGGGGTAAGTGGATGTAATATATATTTAATGGCTTGGTATTTAGGGTTGGATAACTCATTGTAATGTAAATTACAGAATGATCCCCATTAAACTTTTATATCCGATTGTAATCCTAGCTTTTTTTTCACTTTCTATCTAGAAAAATAAAGGCTTTATTCTTATTTGAAAATAATGTTTATATGTCTAAACAAACTAATGTTAATAAACATTTTTTTCATCATTTAACTAAAATCTTGAATTTTAGTGATACAATGCTACGGTGGTTAATTTTTAATACATTTTTGTTTGATACTGCGAAAAGATACTAGAGGAATTAATTCTATAATCTTTTTAATTGGACATTGTTTCATGTAACAGCAAAGGAAATTAGTTTTATGCAATTTTAGACCAAAACAAGAAATTTGATTATTACTTCATAGTTGTGGTTGAACTAAAGAAGATTTCAATAAGCTTTGAGTAGTACTTGGGTTCATAAATTTTGGAATGAAATCTCACTTGCATGAAAGCACTTGTGAAATATTATTGTTTTGGAAAAGATGCCCAAATGAGCATCCTAGCATCATATGATAATTTGATAATCTAGATGAATTCTTTGTAGTTTTGGGTCTCATTTTCACACCTTCGATATATTGAGCGTATTGTTACTACTGCTGTTATTTGTGTTTTCAAAAATTAAAAATATCATGTGCTAACATGCCACCAATGTACGTACTTTTCAAAATAAAGCATTTTATTTCTCTTTCCATTAATTACATGTTTAAAGTTATCTTTGACTGCTATGAAAAACATTCTTCATAAAATCAAGTTTTGTGTGAGAATTTTGACTACAATGGACATAAATTTATGTATTTTTCAGTATATTCAAAAGACATGTAAAAATAGAGAAAATAGGCATGAGGGTGTATATGTATGTATATATATAATTTAAATTCCCACACAAAGTTAGGAAATAGATTTAAGAAGAACTACTGTAATGTTGTTGTGTGTTGAAAACTTGTAAATTTGGGCCTCTACAACCATGATACAAGCAAAAAAGATATAATATATATATATATATATATATATATATATATATATATTAAAATTCTGTCAACCACTATCAGTATTTGCTATTCATACACTTTAAAAATGTGTTGGTTACAAAACAAATGGTTATCAAAATTTATGTTGTGTCTTCCTAATAATTTTTTGAATCCAATAAAAAACACAAAATAAAACTATAAACATGTGCTTTTGCTGATACCTCAAAAAATAAAACAAAAAACAAAAGACCCCATCAAATATATATTTTAAACAATTTTTATGTACAAAATATGAACTAAACACGGGTAAAGTATATACAAAACAAAGATATATATATATATATATATATATATATTAAGTTTTTAGAAAAACACCATTATCTCGTTTTTACAAATAGATACTTTGATGTGAATCAGCCTATCTATTGAAGAAGTTATGTAAATTACTTTTTACAACAATAATTTCAAAAGACTCATAAAATGCATATGTATGAGATGGTATCAATCAGATCAAATAAGACTGAGAATTTTCAAGGATTTACTGAATAACTTTTGGTCGGATATATAAAATCATGAATGAGTAGTCATATATGTATTCACATAAGAGTATGTGTACATGTATATTTTTGTATATTGAAATAAAAATTTAAAAGTATATAAAATTTTTTATGATTCATTTTTCTATTTTTTTCTCTTCGTTTTTCAATTAAAATATCCTCAACACTTCTATGATTATCAACATAATATATATATATATATATATATAATTTACAAGAAAAATAAAAATAGTGATAAATAACCAAAACCAAGTAAAAAATTAAAATAAAAAATTATAAAAAATGATTACAATAAAATATAATAAAAACATGAACAAACTTAAGAATAATCTTAGTTTAACTTGTATGTACACTTTTTTTTTTTTTTAATTCCATAAGTAAGGTTTGTAAGAACTAATAATCTTGTAACTTAATAAACTAATTTGTGGAATACTTCTACAATAGAATGCTAAATATAAAAAGCTTTTAGATAGATAGTTGATAGCTTCATTTTTCATTTTGAGAGAGTTGTGTATCCAACTCTTATTTAACAAATTATTCACTACTTTAAACCTAACATATTATGTATCTAATGTGTCTCTATTAACATGTATATTTTTTTTTTTGGTCTATTGTGAGAGTAAGTATGTATATATATATATATATGTATGAAGAATGCAAGAATTTAATAAATTCCATTTGCTATAAAGAGTGCAATTCTTCTATTTTTTTAATATTATTTATATAATATTAATTTATAAAACCATTTTAGGGAAATATTCATTTTATCCATATATGCTTTTTATTCAATAAATACTTGTTAAACTTCTATGAACACTTTCTACATTTTTATATCTATCATATATTCAAATAATCAAGTACAATAATTAGTTTGATGTATATTTACTTGAACTTTGAAGACAAATTCAACATATTCTTCAAAATCTACCTTCTATTGAAATTGACATCAAAATAAGCACAATCATGAAATCACAATGTACATCTTGCATAATAATGAGAAATACAACATTCTTCTTCTTTTTTCTTTCATTAGAACATGTATCTTTGTAGATAAAGAATGTATCTAATAAGTGTGAATACTAAAATTTTAGTAGGTTTTGAAAAAATTTAAGCAACTTCTATTACCATTTGAGGTGAAAGTGTATTTTATTAAATATTCACATAACTATATTAATTAAAAATAAATTAAACACGTAATTCCATTACTATTATTTTTATAAGTATACATATACACGCACAGAAATTATCATGTAAAAATAATAGCGAAAACGATTTATTCTTTATTCAAATACTTGACCAATAGATTAGACATATATGTGTTTTATACATGTGGTTTCTTGAGGATGTTGTGTCCTATTATTAGTGATACAATTACTGCAACTTCTTGTATTCACAATTATAGATGTACTTTTTTCGATATTATAACACTGAATATGGTATTCAAATTAACATTATTGACTTAACCATCCCTACAAAAACAAATTAAGTTTTTACTTTTTAGTTATTTATAAAACGCCAATTTC